CGGTCAGCAGGCGGTTTTGGCCGGTCGGCGCGCAGCAGCCAGTCTTCGCATGCAGTCTAGCCCAGCACCGGCCGAGCTGCAGAGCTGTCTCGGCAGGCGGTGTTGCTATATACACATGTGCACATATGTATACAGTCTTCGCAAGCGGCGCGCCCCGGCAACAGCGCTTGCAGCGGTATATGCGACCAAGTCACTCTCGATCCAGCTTTGTTGCTCATGCCGTGGCAGGCAATTTGGCGCATCCGCGCGAAGGAAACGAACAGGACCCAGCAGTACATGGCTTAAATGCTTGCAACACGCACCACAGGCAACTTGGCATTCCTTGTTGTTGGATAAAGCGCTCATGTTATCATGTTGGCCTTGCGCGAAGCTGTGTTTACATGTATACATAGAAACACATAGACATGCAAACATAATTACATATTTACATATATATATAGACACATGTACACCAATACAGATATACACATATATACACATATGCACATATAGACATACATACACATATATACACATATATACACATATATACACATATATACACATATATACACATATATAGACATATATACACATATATACACATATATACACATACATACACATATATACACATATATACACATATATAGACTTGTACATATATACATATATACATGTAAACATGTATACAAAGATTTTTCTTTTGTATATATACACAGGTCTAGACAGCTGTATACAGATATATATATATATGTTCCTCTGTAGAAGATGTATATATATATATATAGGCAGATGCATATATACATAAAAACACATATATACACCCAAATATACACGCAAGACGGATGGGTTACAATACCCCCCACCCACCACCACTCTGCCAAGCCTCACACTTAGCTACAATAAAGACTGGAAACAGCATGAGGTTTAGATAATACATATCCATGCATATATATATATATAGTGTAGCTGCACATCCCCACCTCATATATAGACACAATAAGTGGGAGGGCCTGCACATTAATACATATATATGTATTTGTATAAACACAGTGCGAGGATTCTATACACATAAAATTCAACATGCTGTTGTTCTTGGAACTCTACAATTATGGATAAAATGTTGATTCTTTGGACTACGTGTGTATCATAGATGTATGCCAGCAAAGTGTTCTTTTGTACGACAAGGCCCTCTGTTCAGAACGAAACTTTGAGTTGTTCATGCCCATGCTTTTTAGATGGGTATATACATGCACCAGTGGGTTGTGAAACTTTGAACATCGCAACCCTGCATGCCATATTATGTTTGGCAGCAACATGTGATTTTCCCCAAGCTAGAAACAAGAACAGAGTTTCAGGCCTGTTGCAAACGCTCACAAACACAAAAATGCACATAAATTTCAGCAGGGTGTCTTAAGATACGCCCTATATAGGCTACGCAAAGGCCATCCCCCGCATATATGCATGCATGTTATAAATGTACCTGTATAATGCGTATAAATACACATATATAGATCTATCTATATATATATATATCCCATCGCAGTATACTGTCGTTTTTTCTTTATAAGTATAGATGCATGCATATATGATGCGCGCACATATTCATATGGTTGATCATTTCCCATTTCCAAAGAAAAAGAGAGAGAATGATGCCAAACAGGCGTGCATTCACTTGCTGATCTATAAACATGCACCTATATACATATATCTTTGCGCAGCAGCGCGCATAGGCTTATGCTAGGAAGCAGCACGAACTCCATACGGAAACGAATTAGCAATCTGTGTGACAACACTTCAAACACCAGGCAAAGTTGCGATGCCCAGCAGCCGACAGAGCTGAAGGCTCTTACTTTGCAGAAGAGCGCGGGTCTATAGACGTGTTAGGCTTATCGGGCAGGTTGGCTTCATGGGGCCTATGTAGGATGGGGGCATGGCGTTAAGGTCCGTTTTTACATATATATATATACAAGGCGTTTATATGTGTATATATATATATATTTATTTAAGTTATATAGGACGACGTCGGCTTTAGAAAGGATTTCAATTTTGCCTGTTCAGGATCTTAATAGGGTGCGTCTTTGAGGTTCAGGGTTTTTGGGTTTCTTGCGGTTTAATATAGGGTTTATATATATATGCCTGAGGTTGTCCGGCTGGGCGTTCTTATAGTATCAAACGTCTATAGGGTCTGTATGGGCACATATATATTCTTTGGTTTCCAAAGGGTTTGAAGGATCCGTCTTTGTAAGAATGCATGGGTTGAGTGGGGTACCGCATTCTAGAGCACTGAAAGAATATAGTGGGTGCCCTGATGATACATACCTTCTAGTCATTCCTGAACTAGGTAGAAAGTAGATCGAAGTCGACGCAGTGCAGCGGAAGAATCACAGAGCGCAATCTTAATTGTATGAGTCGCTATACCAGGAGCTTGCTTGAAGTTGTTTGCACACCTGACATTTTACAACTCCGTCGGCAAATGGGGTCGCCAAATATCTGGAATCTTTAAAAGCTTGCTGGCCCTTGCGTAGCGGATGGAATCCACAAGGTCACAGTCATGCCACATGTCCTGGTACTGCAGCGCCCGAAATTGCTGCAGCACAGGGGCTGCAGATACCTCACATGGGAAGCAGTAGTTGGGAGTGGGATGGGGTGGGGTGGGGCGCAATTAGACGCGGAAGTGCCCATGGGGTGGGGTGGCGTGGGGGTGGAGTGAGGTGTGGTGGGAGGTTTATAAATGTCTGGACATTTTCCACTGCTGCCTACTGTGTCCCCTTTTTACCTTACTCTAGGCTTTCGAATCAGCAGTTCATGTAGTTTGGAGGAAACCTGTGTACCAAAACCAGAACCTTTGCAGGACCCCCCAAAGCCAACACTCATGTGATACCGCATTGTATTGCACATGTTGCCCTTTGGGAAGGTGGATCAGTTTGCAGCCCCGATCTATTGGCCAAGCACCTCCGGCAAGCGTTCTGCAGGTTCATCTTCGAAGAAATCAGGCAGTAGGCGAACGAAGTGACCAGCGTAGCTGTAGGTATACATCCTTAGGCTCCGCGGGCTTATATATACTCTGTCTGGGAACAAGTTCAATTCAAGAATTAAGATCATGGATTTGGGGAACATCTATAAGGTTCTTCGAGCCACGAGCTATAAAGGTAGCTGAGAGGGTATGGTTTCATACATTATGTTTGTCTAGCAGAGCTGTAAGCCCCCTCTTTGTCAACATTAGTTCTTTCTACTTCAGGACATCTGTATGTAGAGCTTGCAAGGTTTTTATACAAAGGTATATAACCCTCTCATCGAAGGCCGTTCCTGAAGTAGTAAACAAGAGGGCCATCTAAAATAATTGCTACTTGGATCCCACACAGCTGTGCCATGAGTGTTGCAGCAGCATTGCACGCATGGGTCACAAGCCAACCATGGGAACACCCTAACTGCTAATTTATAGAGGTTATATAAGCCTAAGTCCTATTCAATAAGTCCCCAGATGATATATAGAGTGTTAGAACCTCGATTCAGATGTTCGGGGTCTCGCGCAATCAAGCCAAGGTGCTGGGTACCCTTCAAGTTCTTATTACCTGAGAACCTCTTCTTCCCCTCTTTGTCCACTGAGCTCGTTGTCGTTTTTATTTCGCAAACTCGTTCCTCCGGAGTCATAGGTCCAAGGTTTAGTTTTTCTATGTGAGGGGAGCTCGACCACAACCATGTCCGCTTCCATGTCATAGCTTTGAATTTCCGCATCCAGAAACTCGTTTTGAACATCTTAGCTAGCAGCACCATGCAGCATTACCCAAGCATTGTATGTCTTTACAAGACTATGAAGCTATACTCTGCCCCCAACAAAACATTTTAATCGTGTCAGCTTGTAGCGGGAATCCCAAAGGACCTCAGCAGCTTGACCATCCAAACGTAGCGATCATGGAGGGCGATGAGGCTATTCATAGGATTCTCAAGTACAATGGTTCCTCCTGCCGCTATGGTGAGGATCATAAGAATCACTGTCCTGCGCTGGTTTTTTAGGGGGAGACCCTGGGCTAAATCAAATGTAAACCTGTGTATATGTGCATATAAATGCCTCCCATAGATATTCTTGGGCCACATGAGTTACTAATCCGCATATATGCTATGTAGGATACACATGTATACGTGTATGCATTTCTACGCATACCATGAAATTTGCTACTTGGGAGGCGTATATATGCGCGCATATACTTCGGGGTTGTATTGATTCCGTCCTACCCACACAAGCATCACATGTACTATGCTACACCACACAGAATGGGGCCAGAACTTTACATAGACATGTATAGTGGGGGATACATTTTTCTTGATGTTTGATGCCCAGTAAATGCCTAACACACCAGAATGCGTAAATCCCCTTGCAACTCTGCACGCAAGACCTTTCAGGAAGGAGTCCCTAATATCCCGCAGTTTGAGGGTCCTGAATTGGGGGAGAGCAGGGGAGGAGGAGTGAGTGCTTTGAAGGGGTTCCTAAGTTGGACTGGGGGTGTATAGATACATGTATATAAGACATATGTAGGATATTGACTTACAGACGACCTTTTTTTTGGAACCCAATTAAGGCTAGGAACCCTTCAATTACACTGCCTGAATGTATCTATAACTACCTTCCTACGCAAACCCAACAATCCACAACCTGTCCTTGACATGAGCTTGTTAGCTCGCCTGACAGAAGGTCGGGTCTGATCACCCATTGGCACCAAGAAGTCTCTCTTGGACGTGGCCCGGTTTATTGGGACCCAGGAAGAGCAACACGTAGCGAACGCTGCGCAAAATCCATCAAGCCGCGATTGAAGTATCAGTGCTACTGCAAGCCTTAGATCCCGACCCCTGCAAATAAATTCAAAGCACTGCACGCATGTAATTGAATGTGTAGAGGCCTGTCTAACAAAGGCTTTGTTTCGCTGAGGTGCACAAGGCCTGCATCAGAGTTCAAATCCATCGGCCGTCTTTTGCGAGGCTTGGAGCGCAACTTTCGAGAGATCTTGCTCGGGGGCAAGTAATCAATGTCAAAAGCTGCAACAGTATATCCCAGTCCTTCGGCAACCTGCGCCAGTCGTCCTACACCAGCAAAGTATTCCACGAACTGGATGTCCGCGTGACTGCTTATTCCCATCCAATGGACCATCAGAACCAAAAGTACGATGACCTGACCCAGCGCATCAACCAGTATACATGTAGAAACTACAGGTATATAGTATGTCACGGGGTTGTGTACAATGTATATAAGTCCCCACCCCCCACACAGTAAAATGTAGTTTGTTCATGTATGCTGGTTGATGTCTCCGCCATGCAATTTAATCACACGTGCACTATATACTTGCCCACAAATGCCCAATTTAGATCAGGAGGCTTTTGGTACGCGCATGGCAAGCAGCCGCCGCAGAAAGATTTCAAAGTCCCCAGGAGTCATGGCAACGTCACGAAAAGTACCAAGTGCAGTGGAATCAGCATCGACCCGATATACGCTTTGTAGAGTTGACCCCCTAGCTGCATGAATTTTCGACCCATCCTACATTGCATGTCGAGGTTTTTGAAAGTTACCACATATCCTGTCGCTTGCCTTCAATCTGAACACTCTGATTGCAGACTTGCACTACAAAGCAGCATGAATCGTAGCTACATGCAATCAATTGCAAAGCCCTCGCAACCCTTCAAAACAGCAATAGCAGTCACTGGCAGAAGGGCACTGGATATGGACGGCCCAATCCCAAACTTCGCGAGGTTGATGGGGATCCGCGGCATTGAGACTTCGAACCTGCTGCCAAGAATATCTGCGTATAGTCCGTTTTGCAAGTTGGGCACCGCGTGTAACTGTAGTTGGTCAAGTTCAGGGGCTTCCATTGACTGGGTTGTATAAGTTGTGATTGGCTAAACAACATGAAAGGGCTAGGTAGGCTTGTTTCTCCAACATGCCTTTTCCCCTTTGAATGAAATCCTCTGCAGCGAAGCGAAACTTTGTGAGCTTCACATTTTTTGGACTATAGGGGTGCAGGTAGAACTTTGGATGGCCCCTCTCAGCACCCAGACCTGGAGGTAATCAGATTTGTACACGCAAGCCTGCTGGTAACTTGTTTCCTGATACTACACATCCCTTCCACCACACCCAGCACATTAATAGGGGCCCAGCACAAAACCGAAGTTACACACGTTTTCTTATGTATCTGAGCTGATTCACCCCAAACACGGTCTATAAAGCAAACCTGCACAGAACAAATATCCTTAGCAACCGCACCCCCAGATAGCCCTGCAACTGTAGCAGTCGTGTGCGCCTTATATACTTTGTCGAAAAAAACAAGAAGGTCATGAGACACAGCAACGGCAACACATCGGATTGTTCCCAGACCTTTCAAAGCTTGTTGAAACATCGTATATATACATATATTGTTGTTCACCTATTTCATGCAACACGTACATGACACTTCCTAAGATTTCCTGCTAAGGGGCCCGCAAATGTTCTACGTAAGCCTTTTATGCAAGCATCGTTTGGTGTGTGTATGTTTCTAAATTCATATAGGTGTATATATATATATGCATACTTATATATATAGATGTGTTAACCCCCATGCTATATAGGACCTCATATAGCTTGCAACCCAGTCTTATATATATATATATACTAACTGGCATCCTCCAGAAAGACATGCATGTAGAACCTGGACAGTGTATGTAGCGGGACTATGAAAAGCAGTGCTCGCCCTACATAGTTGCCTCATTTCGAGACCTTTCTCACCTATTTTTACCCGCAAATCCCAATCTTCCGAACTTGTACTTCTCAGCTCACTTCAAAAAGGTTCCCCAAGATCCTTGTGAAGATGATCTTCCAAATTTGGGGCCGCATTATACGTACACCAAAAATACTTAAACTTGCAAAGGTTATATACCTTCTGTACGTCCACAACCAACGTCGCCTCGACCGCCTTGACCGCCCTGCTGCTGACCATGAACCCGCACCTTTTCCAAGGGCTTCGCATGTTTAATTTCAGGGCAGGGTCAAGTAAATATTGTAACACAGTTTGGTGTAAACACAACTCGAAAGGGCATGCATATGGCACAAGGCGATGCCAGATGTGCCACTAATGGCAATCTCAGAGTCTACTTGGAGGGTCGTAAGGGCTCAGGTTGAGGGTTTATATGGGGTATAGTATAAGCCATTTCTATAGTAACCCTAGCCATCCGCATTATTAATCCAACTAGGTCTACCTTTAAGGCTCAAGGGTTGGGGTTTGGGGGTCGGAGGGTCGATCTATATAGGGTGCGAGGCTTATAGGGTGAAGCATCCTCTTTTATCGGAATCTGAAAAAAGCTTTCATGCTTACACTACGCCAAAGCTTCCGGGAAGATTTGTCATTACGCATGTGGACAAGCGCACGTGGCTCAAATGCCCCAACTCTCACACCCCAAACCCTAAACTGGGTTGCTGGTAAGGAACTGAAACTTGGTTACCATAAGGAAACCCTTATCATGTGCTATATACCCATCTAGTTGCATATAACCTAAATTGAGTTCCTTAACAACAACCCAGTATAAAACCCTAGAAAGCTGAAACCCTATATAGTCTCTATTCAAGCCCTGAACCATACATATATAGCCTATATCAACCAAAACCTTTGAGAAGGGACTCTGCCAACAAGCACCCCTCTATATACATATATATATATGTAGAATTGCAATATGTGTTAATATAGAACCCTCGTATACCCCATATGTATATATACACATACATGCACCTAAGCAACCCAATAAGCCTCCAAAAACTCCAAGTAAGAGCCCAATAAAAACAGACTACATTGAAGAATCAGCAGAGGCCCGTGCTCCACAATCATACACGCAGACCTTCTGCCGCCACACATGCCACCATCGAGGCTGCCTGCAGGCTGCTTTGCTAGATTTCCCACGACTACAGAGCTTGCTGAACACATTGCACGCAAGCTTGTTTATTTGAACTTCAACTCATGCAAGTTGCAAGATGGACATGAGAAGAGCTGTCACGTTGTGTCATTTTGTCTCGCTTGTCATGGTGCTCGGGATTGGTGCTCAACATGCGGTGATAGGACCACAAAGAATTGGAAAGGCCCAACCACAAAAGAGCATTGCGCAAATGGATCGGTCAAACGCTGCCGACCCCGCTAACGAATTGCTGGGCTAGTACCCATGCTTGTGAATCACACAAGCACTCAGGCCTGCAGCATGAGGCCAAAATCAAAATCGCAGAGCATGCCAGCTCTCGTGACGCCTTGTTATTGCACTACGCAATTGATATTTCCATATGCTACACAGCCTCCCTTACGCTAGATACACCTACGCAATAAACTTGCTAATCTCCGGGTTCTACACATCTCTATGCGCCACCTTCTTCCATGAGTTAGGCACCCGCCGCCTGCTGAAGAAACTTGGCCAGACAAACCCTCTTGGCCATCCCTTCATAGTAACCCAGATTGTACAGATCCGCGGGCTTCTCAGCGGTATTGAAGGTTCTTGTGCAAACATTCCACCACGGCTCCTTCAGGGACGATTTAAGACTTAATATTGTAACCACATATTCCTTATGTTATCGAGTTGACAAAACAAATGCTACAGGATAAGCGCCAGGGAAGGATTTCAAATTCACACGCTAATTGAAAGATACGTTTATACATGTATAAATCTGTATATATCTATATATGTATACAGTGGTCCTCTACATACAGATTATATATATAGCATCGATTATAGTGACCATGTGATATATTTTAAACACATCTCACATTGCAAATGGGCTCATGGGAAATCTCTAGTTCAGCAGCTACATGTAGTACATACGTGTATGTACAGATAATGCTACGATACGAAACACCATAAATGTCATGCTTGTTTATTTATATCATTATTAATATATATATATATAAGAGAGATCGAAGTATACAACACCGCATGCGCTGGCAAAATTCACAGTGCCCCTCGTTCAGAGAGCCTTACTACAAAGAACAGTGAAAGTTAGATTTCCTACTGTAACCCTATCTACCTATATATATATATCTTATATATATATATATGTATGTCTACAAGCTGGTGTGTGCACTCATGCGCATATACAAAGCTGCATGTATGCACTCGCACAACCCAAAGCCCTATGATTCCTATAGTATATATGCATATAAGTCGTATATAAACCTTGCAAGAAGCCCCATACAAACCCTATATAATCATTACAAACCGTATATATACCCTGTAGATCCCACAGAACAAGCATAAATCTGCAAACCCTGTATACCCTATATATATAGTCCCTATATTACCTGCCCCTATATAGCCCTATATATAAACCCTTTCTATAGATATATAGATCCAACCTTATAATGGATCACTAAGCTTGAAAAATGTGTGGTACGCCCGGGCGCTGCAATCGTCGATGCTTTAAAAGCATGTATAGAAATAAACAAGACACGGATACATGCACACACACACATACCATATTCCTATGTGTATATATATATATACATGTATGGCGCTAAACGCATACATATGTATATGTGTGTGTACATTATAGTAGCCAATTTAGTCATGTGCCTTCACTATATATGACTCATTTTCGGAACAAATCTCCTCCCAAATCGAGACAGGCTCACCTCGGCTGACCAACTGCTGCTTGATTTCCTGTTCGAAAACGTTTTTGATGGCCTGCCATTTGGTTAGCGCGGGGACGGTGGCTGGACTTGCCCTGCGAGCAAAACTCGGCTTTCCTGCCCGCGATTTGCACTTCGAGCCACTAGCCTCATCCTCCTTATCCTCGGCCTCTTGCTTGGCGGAGGCCTTGCGGCCTGGCTTGGGCTTAGGCCTTGCCATCTCATCATCACCCTCGTCATGGCGATCTCCCTTCCCCGCCTTGCTCTTGGCTTTGGCTTTGGCCTTAGCCTTCGATTTTGCCTTGCCCTTTGCCTTGGGCGCGGGGAGGGCCGCTGGTTCACCCTCAGACATTGAGAGATCATCATGATCACTGCTTCCCTTCAAGCTTGACCCCTCATACGGCCGTAGTTCCTCATCAAGTGCCCGCAGCTCCGCTGCATCTTCCTCTGAAAGTTGGCCCATCAAGACGGGGTCGAGATCTCCATTCTCTGTCAGCAAGGACAGTCTCATGTTGATCATCCTGCGACGCTTCCAAAGCGATGT